ATGTTGGCTGGTTTCTGCAGGGCTTCCCGCTATCATCCTATCGTTTTGGGCGTTCAGGAATTGATCTGTTGAAAACGGGCATTCGTCAGTGAAAAGAATGTCGCTGTGCTGTGCCTGCGAAAATCGCTTTAAACGCTCCCTAAATCTTTTGAACCTAGTTTTCTTCATACGCTTAGTTAGCATGTGAGCTTTTCTAATCTTATAAGAGCGAACTCGAAGGTGGCTGGTGACAATCCTTCCGACAGATCGAGCAGAAATTCCGACCTCAAGAGCCGTTTATCTCTCGGACCTACAAAGGTGGCGGCGGAATTTCTCTCGAACGATTTTCACGATTTCCTTTGTCGTTGCACTCTTCGGCCTTCCATTTTTAGGCTTGTCCTCCATAGTTCCTGTCGCCTTGTACCTGTTGACGTTGTTGTACACGGTTCTTAAGGGAATCTGGAGCTGTTTGAAGATGGTCTTTGCTGTGCATTCAGCCAGATGGAGGTGCATGATGGGGGGTCGTTGGTCTGTTCTTAAGGGAATCTGGAGCTGTTTGAAGATGGTCTTTGCTGTGCATTCAGCCAGATGGAGGTGCATGATGGAGGGTCGTTGGTCTTTACTTGTCACTATTCTGTAAAATGGCATATTCAAGAACGGCCAGTTTATGGAATGTATAGAGGAGGACTTGCAGTAAATAGTGGCACAGATCCTGTCGAGATCGAAGGCCTCCTTATTTATACAGAACCTGAAACGGGTCTTTGCCAGAACTTTTGCCGCACCGTGTAAAACACATGATGTGATTAGCGGAAATGGGAGAAGGTTAAGAGCCAAGATAATCCAGAGAACAATGATTTATTGACTAATAGTAATGGAACTACTGCTCTATAATGACAATACTGTTCACAGAACCTATTTGCTTTTATCTAACTTTTATCTATGTTTGGTCATGTCTTTTCCAATTCCGGCAGTAATGGATCTGTGCATCCTAAATCTGTATTTGAAACGGCTTCCGCTAGAGCTGGTAACTCTGTCGGGGTTCGTCCGAGGTTTTCCCTTTTTTGGTCATCATCTGGCAGTGCCTACAATTATTTGATTTTCTTTTTCAGTTGAAAATTGAGACAAGAAGGAAGTATGAATGCGCACGTACAATTGTCATAGTATGGCGGGATTTCCGAGTTGTAGTGTTTGCAAATAATCACACATGGTTTGGGGATGGTTTGATAGTGATCAGAGTTGTGGAAGCTAGCAGTTCATGGCGGTGGTCACTGCACAAACATGGAAGAATTCCCCTCCACATTCACATTAATTTGACTTCTTCAGGAGTGCAAAATGAAGTTTAATGAGCTCTCTGAGCTTTCTAGTGTAAAACCGGGTGACCGCATTAAAGGCAACTTGTTGAGAACAGTACCTCGATGGCGAAGGAAGCGAGAAAACCAGCAGCGTCCTTGTTATTTGAGGACTTTTTATATAGTGAAAGTAGTGGGTTGTACGAAACAAGCATGGCGGAAATGGCAAGGAAGGGGGACTCAGGCAGTGATTTTAGTAGTTGCCATTGCGAAAGCGCTGGCTACAGTATGGGTCTGCGAAAGCGCTGGCTACAGTATGGGTCACGACTGGTTTTTTGAAGTTCCACCAAGGATGCTTCCTTCTGAAAGGAACAGCCGTAGAACTGTTCCCTCCTATAGTGTGGACGTCGACGAGGCGAAAAAACTTGCCGTGACCCAGTAGAAGGCAGTTTTGTGTACATTGCCTTACTGTAGCCAGGTCTTAAGGCAATGGCAACGTTGTTAGAGCGTATGAATGGCGTCACTCGCCACCTTCCTCACTTGCTTCCTAGCGTCGACATTTGCCGTGGGCCGTCAGTTTCTCGAGTTCGTGAACGCTTTAAGAAAGATCTCACCCCTGTCGTCTTGTTGGCAATGTTCATTTATAACCAGCATCATACATCAACATACCAGCCGGGGTTCGGGTGACTGGCCCCAGTCGGAAAGCTGTTCAGCTCGTCGATTTTGAAGTGACCTTTGCTCATCACCTGCTTTTCTTCTACGTGCGACATAGGTGAAAGCTCCAACTATAGCAACGCAGAAAATCATAGCGATAGCCGACACCGGCAACAAGTGCATTTTCTTCTGCAAAAAACATTAATGTGGAGTGTGCATTGGTCAATGATATTTGACCGAGCAGTCTGTTCACGGCTTCAACACGAGCTCAGCCTATGTATGCATGAATTTAACATATGAGATTTGCGTCAAAGATGAGAGCTGAGCGCTTGGAAGCATCCATTGGCATAGGCTGATGGGAGTTGCTCGTTGGCGGCCGTATGGTGGAAGTTTAGGTGGGAGAATTCAGACTCAAGCGGTCGCACCCGTGACGTGGCCAAGAAATTCAAAGAGGATATCATGGAAGGTTCGTACACGAAATGTATTGGTGAGATTTGAATTTTCGGTCGCGAAAGTAATATCGATGATCTTGATCACTTCTATTCTCATGACCGTGTAATTCTAGCTTGCAAAGTGCCTCCTATGGGAAATTCTGATCGGAGATATTCAAGAAGTCGCATTCCTTACACATCCGTTCACAGCACTCGGCGATTCCCACTTGTTGTCTCGCTCCAAGTCATCCAATTCAAGCCTATAGTTCTTAACTAATTGCAGGTAGGGGCATCATCATTGCTACTGCGCCCTATCGCCTCACCCTTTCGTGCCAAAGGACATGTGGAGCTTCCTAACATAGAACTAGCATAGCATTTCATCCAAGGGAAGTTGCAGCCATTATGTTGCAAAATTCGACAACACGTAATATTGTCTTTAGTTGTAAATATAATATACCTGTATACTCTTCACGAAGAATTTGAAAGATTTGAAACGCTCCCCTTTTGGAGTAAAAAGTATGGGTGCCCAAGCCATAGTTACTGCTTCCAAGATGAGCNCAACACTTGTTCACCTTACCTTCATTTGTGTATGACAAAGGGATGATCATGTCTGAGCGGGGGGTTAATATGTGAGCTACCCACTTATCCCCCAACTTCTTCAAATGAAGAGCAGCAATCTCGGGTATGCATATCTCCTCAAGCTGAAAAATGGGTGGAAATTTGATACGATCTTTTTGGAAATGCGATGAAGAAACTGCACCTCAACTGCTTCGGTGATGGTTATGGTGAGATGTAGAGGACTGGCATGGCTGAGGAACTAAAATTGTAGTGTGTGAAGGATATAAAAGGTTTGGGTACGTTTTGTATAATGGCTTGTGCTGGCGTATCACTTATTCAATTCATGGATTATTTTCTACTTATTTCCATCCACTCACATCTGAGCTTACGCAGAGTTCCTTCAGTCTATGGCCTGGATGGAGAGGAGTGAGGTAATCTTTGTTGGATATGTTTAGGGTGCTCAGAGAGCAACCGATTTGCTTCGCTAAATGGATGTATTGCTCGTCGTAAAGAATTCTGATCTTCTTATGCTCGTAGGCATGCCATGCCGAAAATCCGATCTGAAAATAACATACTTTCTCACAAATTATCATCCTACTATACAGTAGCGCTCAAAAGTCTTCGGTGAGATGATTCTTCAGCCGTACTTTTTAGTCGTAACTCCTTTCCTAGTATATCTAATCATGCGAAATTTCATTATGAGTAGCATGGGTGTGTTGTGTATATTTATCACTATTAATCTGCAATCTGACCATGTTCCAGATATTCCAAAGGGCTTGAACTCAAAATCGAGAAAATACAGATGATGATCCTTCTANTTACTTTTAGCAAAATCTGCTACCGTAACAAACATCTTGCTCTCCCTGAGGATACTGCAGCTTCGCAGTCAAATAGTGTTGGGTAGGGTGAAATATGCTCTAGTTAAACATATCCAAATCTTGCGCGATTTGGTGTACTAACAAAAAAGTTATGAAAGAAAAAGGGTCGAACATTTCACCGAAGACTTTTGAGCGCTACTGTATATAATCCGTTATGTGTGTTGTTGGATTGTCTCTGTATGTATGTTTGACTGGAAATTCATAACTCGCGCTCCCGTGAGGACCTAGAGTGTTCGAATTCGGAAAGGATACGGGCGGCAAGATGGGAACGCTGATGATTGGTAAAGAAAGTGATAACAATCGATTGAAATAGATAAGGAGCCTTGAAAGGCAAAACCCAGTTAATCACTTCGTGTTATTGGTGGAGCCTTGGCACTTCGGCAGGTGGCGTGTGGTGACAAGGTTCAATAACAACTTATGTAACTGGACTGATGACAGTCATAGAAGCGAGAACCTTGAGGCTTATAAGGTCCTTTGTGCTAACAGTGGAGCTGTGGTATTTCAGTATGTGATAGGATATGACGGGATCGTATCTACTCGGTGACAGAAACTGATAGCAACTGATAGCAGCTGGCAAAAAGCCTACGAGAGCAAGAGGCATCTTCCCCTGAACTCTTAATTCCTTTGGTATACACGATGTTGCTTCAACTGCTTGGTTTGTCTCATTCGATAAGATGCGATGGTAGAGTAGGCACAAAAAATGAGTGGTAAGTGCTGCGATAGGGCCGTTACCGGTGCATTATTATAAGCAGATAAAAATTTAGTTCATTTCTTGGTGTTAGATTAGGACATCTACCCTGCAAAATTTGTGATTCAATGAAGGATCACGGTTTCCCTTGGTTTGGTTACCGTTTGCGTTTGCGGCTATACTTATCCGACTGCCAACAATGTGGGACTCTCAGTTAATGATACACATATCAGTAGAGAGTGGCAGTTCCAAAGTCATCTGATAATAATATTGTTATCATTCGACAATGTCTGTGAGTACCATTCCAGGTTTCGGTTGCCTGATAGGTGGAGCTTCGATAGGTGATCATTTTCAAAAATTTGGGGGCGAGGGGGATAGAGAGAGGAGGGGTACCAAGACGAGTCGCAGATTCCTTTGTTGAAAGAAGGGTTCCTTCATTCTATGGAAATTTCACACCAGTTTCAAAGTTATTCTCTCCTTATCCCGCTTTCAAGCGCAAGTATGATATCTCAGTTTTTTGACCAGTTGGTTCATCATATGCCGTATTTTCGAATGCCTCTCTGGCCAACACTAATATGCTGATCCCTCCCCCATCTCTTGCTTTGAACAAAACAATATCTCTAAAAATCCTTCTTCATATATGCTCTGTGGGAAGCCTGAGGACTGTCTGAGTGCATGTATCTTCCACAGTTTTGTTCTGTACAGGCTTGGTATTTTTTGACGAACAAAGATAGATCTCACCTTATGGCAATCATGGGCACCACAAATACTCACGAGACTGAGGAAAACAAGAATGAGTTCAAACCTCATCCGGTTTGGACAGATCTGTTGAATGCAGCTATCATCTCGACTCAGTTGCGAGGCCATAATTGCTGATAGGCGATTAAATTTTATCAAAACTAATCTATATGCAATTTGCTGTGGGCTTTGAGCCTTTTGTGGTTGATGAGAATGTTCTGCAATGTATTACATAGGAGGAATCCATCAAGCAATTCAAACCAACGAAGAGTTGTAAGGCTTGTAAAAACGAATCGTGCTCCGATTTCTACACAAATCTTCTTCTTTCACATTTTGACCCACCTGGGGGCAGGGACTGCTTTTCTGATAATCTCACCCCACTTTTCTCTGTTGAATGCTTGGTCGGAATGAAGCCATCTGATCTGGCTCCATGCGAGATCAAAAAGCGCTTTTCAGGACGTTCTTCAAGCCGCCTTCGGGCATATCGAGCCTGGTCTTACAAACACTGTTATTGTCGCTCGTATGACGAGGTCGTACCATCGACGGTACGACCACGTCTTACGAGTGACAAAAACATGGTTTGGGCTCCGCGCATTTTTTTCAGCACAGGGACTACTTCACTACCCTATTGCATCTTTTTATATAGCCCGAACTAATTCTATCCAAATGGAGTCGGAAGTTTCGTAAAAACTGAAACGGTCACTGCTGACCCTCTACACACGGAGTTCGGGAATGGCTCATGTTCAGCTTCATCGAAGCATTTTTGCAGACGTAATGGCAAAGTGGTGGCTTGTGTAAGGCCAGTTAGTCTCAAAGCGTTTTTTATCAATGCATGGGATAGTATGGGCGATGTTAGATCTGATCGTTGGAGGAGTTCGTTGGAGGAAGTTGTTAAGACTGATCTACTGGGTGTTAGACATCCACTTCTAGTTTCGTTTTGCGAAAGCAACTTTCCTACTCAATCAAGATCGTTCACGAGTCATCAGTTTTCATTTTTAAAATTTCAAGTTGCTCACTGCTCTTGCACTTATGGATTGAGACATCTAACAGGTGAATTCACCACAACTTAATTGTAGCTTTGCCTTCAAATCCCATTTCGAATTCGAGTGAAAGTTTTGAGTCTTTCAGCAAAACCCAGGTGCATGGTGGGGCTTACGAACAAACCGCACGACAAGCGGCGTTGCTGGCTACGTGTTGACAACGGCGTTGCTGGCTACATGTTGACAACGCGAGACGGATTGCGTTAGGGGCCGCGTGGGCACCCATCGTGTTCAGTATTGTCGACACGTGGCCAGCAACCCGTTGGTCGTCGGTCGGTCAGTGAAACAATGAACATTATTGAATTCTAAAAGCTCCCGATAATAGATTGATTTTTGAAGTACCAAAAGGAAAATGGGCAAGTATTGCAGCTGATGTCAACTGTTTGTTCTCAACGTTTCGAGTTCAATGGAGTTCCTCCCAGAATAAATTGAAATCCATCTCTCCCCCCTTGCTTTTGCAAACGTTCACATTTATTCTTGTCATTATGTTGCAAAGATTGTACACTCCGAACTGATCTTCAATGATTCATTCTGTTTGACATGGTTTCAGTGAATTCCTATCCACAATTTTTCTGCGCTGATTTCACGATTGAAATGGTTTCTGATCAATAGTGTCGCATCATCACTTTTGCGTCTATTCAGAAAGATATATATTGGCGGGAGTAATTAGGAAACAATAGTCGGATTAAATGCTATGTTTGTTGTTGTATGTTATGTTGTGCTATGCTAACGATACTTGAAAATATAGTGAGTGCATAAGGGAAGTCCCATCAAAGCAGCAGAAAGGGATTCACCG